AATCGCATCGTAGTTCCTTGACTGTGCCAGGATTTCCAGTTCTCCCTGCTTGTTTCCCAGGCTTCTTGCATTTGTGTATAGGCACTTAAGATAACTCGCTGATTGTCCTGCTTTCTCAGTATGAGGCAGGAGTCCTCCTCTCTTGCACTCTCCTGCTCGTGCTTCCTCACGGTATCCCATTTCCCCGCTTACCTCAGGACTTTGGTCTCCTTCCCACAGTGAACCTAGTTTAAAGCCCTCCTCACTAGGTTAGCCAGCCTGCTTGCGAAGATGCTCTTCCCTCTCTTCATTAGGTGGAGCCTGTCTCTGCCTAGCACTCCTCCTTCTTGGAACACTATCCCATGGTCGAAGAATCCAAAGCCTTCTCTCCGACAGCACCTGCATAGCCATTCGTTGACTTCCACGATTTGACGGTCTCTACCCAGGCCTTTTCCCTGCACAGGGAGGATGGACAAGAACACCACTTGCGCCTCAAACTCCTTTATCCTTCTTCCCAGAGTCACGTAGTCTGCAGTGATCTGCTCAAGGTCATTCTTGGCAGTATCATTGGTGCCCACGTGGAGAAGCAGGAAGGGGTAGTGATCTGAGGGCTTGATGAGTCTCGGCAGTCTCTCCGTCACATCGTGAATCCTAGCTGCTGGCAAGCAGCAGACCTCTCGGTTTTCTCAGTCGGGGCGGCAGATAGATGACTCAGTCCCCCTGAGGAGGGAGTCCCCGACCACCACCACCCGCCGCCTCCTCTTGGGAGTGGTGGTCAAGGAACTCCCATCCCTATGACAGTGCATCTCATGCCTTCCCATCGGTGGAGTTTCCTTCTGCTCGCTTGGTTATCCAGCAGTCCTTACTTGGACAAATTCCCACCAGGTCTAATGAATTTGAATTTGTTTGTATCCAGACCCCTCAGTATTTGCATCTCTATGAGTAAAATATATAGTTGTTTTAAATTAGCAATGTTGGATCATTTAAACTGGAAATAACTTGTTGGCGACAAAGGATCAACACATGCAGTATAAATGCAATATGATTTAAAAAGAACTGTAACAGAAATAGTTTATTTTTTTCTCTCTCGAGGACTGAGATAGTCCTGCTGAATTACCAAAAAAAAAAAGTGGGGGGGGGGGTGAGAAGAGGGAAGGAGCCTAGACTCTTGGCGTTTTGCATTTCTGGCTATTGGGAGTGATTGTTTCATTGCATCAGGTTAATTTTGGTCATAGTTAAATTTTGCTAGAAGCCACAGCAGACTGAACAACAAATTGATTTTTTTCCCTGACTATAAGTTCAATGCACAAGGCTTGAACTCCATTAAATCCTCCAGCAGTGGAAGAAGCTCTCTTTTGATATTTTGTAAAATCTCTGAGGCAGTTGAAAGATGACAGAGGATGTGACTTTTTATTGGATACCATAGTGTTCTTACTTGGCACATTTTAGTCAAGAAAGGTATGTTTTAATTATTGGTATTTCTTTCATCCAGTTAATTAATAACCAATTGAAATTATATTGTTTACCTATAGCAGGCTCTCTTACTCTATAAAATGTCTCCTGCATCAATGTTATTACAAGTGTTTTTAGTATAACAGGAGCCTATTAAATTATACTTGCAACATATTTTAAATTAATGCTGTCAACATAATTGCTTATCTTTTATTGCTACAAAAACATAGTAAAACAGCTTATCTTTGTCAACATATTGCATAATATTCAATACATATGTTAAAAATTATAAATAATCCTATCAGGTATTTTCAGGATATTTCACTGTAAAACAGAAAGCAGCAAAAACACCTCTCTGTAGTAAGTGCAAGTCTTGTGATTTAATGGAAATATTACCAGCTTTAAACTTTATTTTACTATAAACATTTAGGCAAATGCTGGCAGTTTTTCAGTGTATTTTTACTTAAAATATTTATTTTAATATATCATGACCACAGTTCTCATTATGTGCCACTTATTCACTGATTATATGTAATATTTATATCGGATACTAATGTAACTGAGCAAAGGACATCTATCTGAATTTATGGTATTATTATTAGTATAATCATCTAGAACACACTAGTCAGAATTGTGAGCTCACAACTGTGTGTTCAAAAAGTCTTTTTTTTTTAATTTTAACATATTTTAGAACTCAAGCTACTGAATTGTTTTGTGGCCTCAAAGTAGTATTATAGATAGTGAGCATGATAAACCTTCACTGTGTGAAAGAGTCAGTGGGGGCCTGATTTTCTGATGTACTTGAAAAACTGTAACTCCCGTTGACTTCAACTGCAGTTGTTGATGCTCAACAATTCTGAAAACCAGAACTTGAAAATGTCTTTACCTATTTACTCATACAGAAGGAAAGTCTGGTAACCTTCACAAGAGTGCACAATCCAAGCCACAGTGATACTGCTCTGGCACAACTATGGTGTAGGATGACAGACTACAAAGAGGCCATAAGGGTTTCACATTCCTTTGAATGCAATGGAGCAGTGTGCCACAGTTGCTGTCTCCACAGAGCATGTGGGAGATGGTTCCTAGTGAGATGAAGGAAGGGCATGGGTAAGACCACCGGGCCCCACCAAATCTCTGTGTAGGTCGCTTGTGCAAATCCTTTGTAAATCCTATTTGTTTAGGCTTTACATGAGTGATGTGCCTTTCACCATAAATGGCAATGGTTCAAATGAGAGAAGTAATATCTTTTATTGGACCAACTTCTGGTGAGAGAGACAAGCTTTTGAGACACCCAGAGCTCTTCTTCAGGTCAAATGACTTTTAGAAAATAATAGCTCTGGTATGTGAAGAGAAGAAAGCCATCCATTCTATTTCAGGCTTCTTCAAGGTGAAGCTACTGCTGAGAAGCATCATTTAAAAAAAAAAAATCCATCTGAGAGGTCATTCTCAGCTATCAGCCTAATGGGATAGTAACTGATATTTCTAAAAACTGTTCTGAAAAATCTATTAAATGTAATCACTAAATAATAATGTTTTATTAACTATCAAGGGAACTATAACTAATCACTGCAGGTTTCCTTTAAATACAGTATACTATGTTTGACCTTTATTTATACCAGCTAAAAGCCTCCTAATTTTGTGGCTTTCAACCCTCTTCATAGCTCTTCTGATTTCTCTTGTTATGTGCCTTGGTAGGCATAAGCAATATCCAAGAAAGTTCAGAAGTAACATTCCCCAGTATACAATTTATGTAGATTTGAAATTTTTTTCTATACTTACTTTAGATATCAACTAATTATTAAAGGCATATTTACTGGACTTTAATAACCTCAGTAAGGACCCAATTCTGCAAAGGGCCAAGCACCTAAACTTCCATTGACTTCAATGGAAATTGAGGATGCTTAGTACCGTGTAAGATTTGGTCCCTATTAAGCTAATTTTTATTTTTAATTTGAAGAAAAAAAGCTAGAAAACATTACTGTATTAATGTTGTACCTGAGATATTAAAATCTCAGCTGTTAATGAAAGAGTGATGCTCTTTATGAGCTTGGTTACTATGTTTTGAATGTGAGAGAATCAGTGTCAGCTTTTGTGTAATATAGAAGGGCTGCAACTGTGACAATATCTTATGTTTATCTTTCATAGCTTTTAGTGCTAAGATGGCAGAGTAACCATGGGAGACTGGAATTTTCTTGGAGGCATCTTGGAGGAGGTCCACATTCATTCCACTATTATTGGAAAGGTCTGGTTAACTATCCTATTCATATTTCGAATGCTTGTCCTAGGTGTGGCAGCTGAAGATGTCTGGAATGATGAGCAGTCAGAATTCATATGCAATACAGAGCAACCTGGCTGCAGAAATGTTTGCTACGACCAGGCCTTTCCTATCTCTCTCATAAGATATTGGGTCTTGCAAGTTATATTTGTATCTTCACCTTCCTTGGTCTATATGGGCCATGCTTTATACAGACTAAGAGCCTTAGAAAAAGAGAGACAAAAGAAGAAGGCACAAGTAAGAATGGAACTTGAAGGAGTTGAACTAGAAATGACTGAAGATCGGAAAAGACTGGAGCGAGAACTCCGGCAACTGGAGCAAAGAAAGCTCAACAAAGCACCCCTGAGAGGCTCCTTGCTCTGCACTTATGTGATACATATTTTTACTAGATCTGCAGTTGAAGTTGCGTTTATGATTGGCCAATATCTTCTTTATGGTTTTCAGCTCAATCCTCTTTATAAATGTCAGAGAGAGCCATGTCCAAACATAGTTGACTGTTTTATATCAAGACCAACAGAAAAGACAGTGTTCCTATTATTTATGCAATCAATAGCAATTGTATCATTGTTTTTAAACATCTTAGAAATTGTCCATCTAGGGGTCAAAAAAATTAAAAAGGGACTTTGTGGGCCTGATAAAAACAGGGATGACTTTGATGATTTCTATGTAAGTAAATCCAAGAAAAACTCTGTAATACCCCACCCTTGTATGGGAACATCCGCAACTCCACAAAAAACTCTCCCTTCTGCCCCTAGTAGTTATACCCTGTTAATAGAAAAACAAACTTACACAGCAGGCCATGATGTTCTAAATTCATCTTCTGCATTCCAATCTGTTAAAAACAACCATACTGAAAATAGCAACAATCACATTCATGATGAAAGGGAAAGTAAATTGCCAGATGAGATGCAAACTTCTAATACTTTGGACCGTCATCCTCGAAATACCAGCTCAAATAATAATGAAGGCTTAAGCAAGGTATTTGGGACAGAAATTAATGGTAGTCAGCAACAAGATGAAAAGAAACATTGCCTCAGTGGCATGCATTCTAATCTAGTTGCTGCTTCAGGTCTGTGCTTGGGAAGCCTGGCTGAACTGCCACCTGGAAGTTCATTGCAACCGGATATGACTTCCCCTATTTCAATTAACTGTGCTCGAAAGCTTCGTGGCGTCAGTTCCCCATGGAACTGTTCTACAGTAGTTGAGAGTGAAGGGTCTCCAACAGATTCTCCTTCCATGAGCAGCAACCGAGGACAAGACAACTTCAGTGGAAGCAGAGCCCAAGGCCTTTCCAAGACTGACCTAAGAAAAATTGGCAGACCAGACACTCCTGATTCTCTAAGTGAGCTGAGCTCAGAATCCAAACAGAGCAGAAATTGTGAAAGTCCTCAGGCTTTTTCTCCCTCTCGGCGAATGTCATTGGCAAGTAATGCCAGCAGCAGGCGTGCTCCCACCGATCTTCAGATCTAAGTGTTTGTTACCTTACCTATATGTTACATGCATGAGCACTGAGGGAAATAGTGGCATTATTGGACACTGTCACATGAATTATACCTATTTGTAATTGTAGTTAAGTTAATCAACTTCCACCAGCTCTTTCACGGAGGTAATGCAAAGAACTGTACACCCTTGTGCAGTAGTTGATAAGAACTCTTGAAATGAGAAATTGATAATAAAAAAATTATCTGCTCTATTAGATTTTAGTCATCTTTTTATTAAATCTAATAGAGCAGATAATTATTAAGATGACTTAAAATCTAATACAGCAGATATCCCCATTATCTTTCCTGTTCCTAAAGCAAACAGATGTCAAAGTAACTTTTAATTTAACCCAGTAATTCCTGTATCAAGTCCATCCAAGTTCAGCCTCAAAAATCTATGGATCAGTGCAAAAAAAATTTGGGGGTGGGGGGTGGAAGAAAAGTGATGGAGAGAGGAGCCATCTTTGTGTGGCAGCCTTGTGCCTCTTCATTGCCTCTTTTCACCCTCACTCCCACATAGCTCCATGCCAGGGGGACTGTGCTGACAGGGATTCGCTTGCTGCAGTTGCCTCTGAAAAGCACCTTAGTGGGGGTTCCACATCAAAGATGGGGAACATGTATTTTTTGTTTGTTTTGTTTTAGTGGGGAAATACTGAAAAGAATGGACCTCTACTGCCCCCTCTCTAGATGTGTGGAATCCACATTCCACAAAGCACCTGTGAAATATAAAAGGGTTTATGTGAGGATGCGGAGAAGTGAGCACTATTCCACGTAGACTGCATGCTCCCAGGGAGCAGCCCCAGTTGTTTTGCTGGCCAGGGTGGAAAATGTTTTCAGCACCCTCTCTGCCTAAGCAGTGGAGCATCAAAAAAAACAAAAACAAAGCCAAACACCCTGTCCCCCCCAAAAACTAGAAAAGCCAAGTGTTGACACAGCCCCCTGGAAAATTGGGGCCCAGGGCAATTGATCTGCTCACCCACCCCTAGAACAGGACATACATGCTCTCCTCTGTGCCTCCCTGAGTTAAATTCACAGTTTTGAGCAATATTTCCATAACTGATAGTGCAACATCAAGGTTAAAACAAGAACAACAACAAAAGCTAGGAAATTGAAAAGTAATTTTTCTTTTAGCATTAGGCATGTTGCACATGCTGAAGTATGTACTATTCTTGTGTATCTTGTTAAATCTATCTACCTTAGGTTTTTCTTTGGTGTCTATCACTTTAGCATCTGAGGTAAACACATAGTTGTCTGTTATTCTATTGATATTGCTAAATGATTACCTTACCATATACAGGATGTGCAATATGTTCCATTAACAATCATGTAGTAATCTTAACTTTTGCATTTTCTGACTTTTAAAATTTTAATTGGGAATACTTATATTTGCAATAATGTATGTGTTTTGCATTTAATTTCCTGATTTTTAAAAGAAAAAATGCCTCTGCTTAATGCACTCCTTTTGCACTGTTTAAATAATACATAAGTAGCAATAATGTTACTTTTTAAATGGTTCCGATTGGGCTTTGAAGTTCATATCTCAGTTCACTGAATTGTGCAGAAGTCCGTCAAAGAGTTTATATCCTGCTGCTTCTGTTTGGAGATAGTTTACTGCAAGGATGTGTCACATAGTAATGGCTGCATACAGTATCTTTTCAATGGAAAAACAAACATGAAATTTAGCTAACATTAAAACTTAAGAATTTGCAGAATATGGCAGAATGCAACAGAAATTGTTGAAAGACCCAAAAATAAAATGGGTGTTATTTTCACATCCAGGATTTTGTCCTAGTCCTGCTAATGATAATAATGATTTCTAGATCTTATATAATGCTTTTCATCAGTATACCACAAAGCACTTTACAAACGAGATAAATATTATTATCCCCATTTTACAGATGGAGAAACAGAGGGCAAAGCACTGATTTTTTGCAAGGTATTTGAGTGTGCATAATTCTTTAGTTTCCCCCGCATGGAGCTCTCCAGCTGAAATCTATTCCCCAGAGTGGTGGAGATATTTCAGCCATGTATAACTTTATTAATATTAACGCAAATTATTATTCAAACCTGGTCATGATCATATTGAAGTGAACACTATTTACATCCCAAGTGTCAAAGTTCATCTATTTGTGTGTTCATGTGGGAATGATTTTTTTTTTTTATAGTGGAGGAAAGCATTCCATTTAAGTCTTGTGAAATCACGTTTGAGATCTGATCCAAAGAATATTGAAATCAATTAGAACTTTTCAATTGACCTCATTGGGCTTTCGATCAGGCCTTTAAGATTACAGAAACACATGTCTGAAAGCAGGGCCAGTGCAAGGATATTTTGCGCCCTAGGCAAAATTTCCACCTTGCCCTCCCCACCTCTCGCCCTGTGGCATCGCTTATTATAAACTTTCAAAAATGAATACGGCATAATGTGGCATTGTTCATTAGAATGAATACACGTTCAGCTTGAAAATGTATTAATTTAATTATTTAGTCTACATATTTAATGAAAATAAATGGCCTTGGGTCTCCTTCTCGTGGCTAGAGTCCCTCCTGCCCCCATCCCCCCATGGATCTGGAAAGGGCTGTTTTGGGGATCAGAGCACAGAGCTGGGAGTCAGGATCTGGCTTCTATTCTCCACCCTGGCACCAACTCACTGGATGACTTCAGGCAAGTTACTTCCCCATTCTGGGCTTCAGCTCCCCCCAGCGCTAAGGTGTGAAATGGTTCCTTGCTTCTGGGCTGGAAAGTGCAATGCAGGTGGGAGGGGGTGTCTGAAGGCCTGTCTTCCCCACAGGTATGAGGCGAGGACAGAGTTCCAGCCTCCGTCAAGACCGGCCTGGTTGCTTTACTGTGCCCCATGCCAATCGCTGCTGAAGCCCCTTACTCAGAGAGCTCTGGCCCAGGGCAGAGGCATCAGTGTCATTCTGGGCCTGATTTTCAGAGATGCTGAGCACCTGCAGTTCCCCCGATGTCTGTGGGAACTCCAAGGTTCTCAGTACTTCTGAAACTCAGGGCAATTTATTTCGAATTCTTGGCCAGGACTGAGCCTGCAAAGGCAGGTCCATATACACACCTCAATCCACAGCAGATCTCCCATCAATAACAATACAAGCAATCAGGAGAATGATGAGGGGCAGGTGGCCCAATGCTGGGAGTGGGGAGACTATGGCCCTAATGTGGTCACTAAACTTCTACCTAGTAAAGTTACTGGTGCATCTGCTGTCATTCAGTGGGAGAACAAAAATCTCTTGGGTGTTGCAGTCTGCCCAGGGTTGAGCTGCACTTAACCTGAGTTGCTCACACAGTTGCAGTGGCTGTGCACCACGCAACTGGTCATCTATGTTGCATGAAAATCTGGCTCTGACTGTGTCATAATTAGATTTAACAGTTACTGCCGCATTTCCTAGAGCTGTTGTCCCAGGCTGGCTGCAGACTCAGGCAGACAGAACTATGTCGGCTAGACACCCATCACCTTTGGAAGATATTCCTTGTAGCCATAAGGGCTCGAGACAGCCGTGTTTCTTCACTGAAAAGTTGCAGTGTGCGGCACCTGAATCCCAGATTAATACCTTGTGTGGGCAGGTGCAGGGCTCAGGGCTTGAAGGCCTCTGGTCTAATGGTCAGAGCCAACACAGAACTAGGAGCCTCGATCTCCTGTGTTCAAAGCAGGACTCCGACAATGACTCCCCAGTTGACCTTGGGCAAGTCACATCCCTGTTCTCTGCCTCAGTTTCCCCAAACATGGGGCTCTTTTTACCTGCTCCACAGGGCTGCAGGGATGGATGGGGATGAAGCCTTGGAAGGTGGCACGTGCTGAGGACGGTTACACTTTTGCAGCTCTTTAACCCTGTATCCTGTGGCAGGCCCATGATCCACCCCCGCAGATGGACCGGTGGCCACGGTCTCCTCTTCCTTGCCCCCACTCCCGCTGCTGCATTGCTGTCAATAGGGCCAGCTGCAGGCAGGCTGTCACCCGCTCCAATCTGCAGCCGGCAACCCTTGGGCAGCAGCCGCTACTGCGGCAGGGGGTCCGGGACTGCCAGAGCCAGAGGGAGCAGGCTAGGGAGCAATGCGGCAGCTCGGGGAGGAGGCGGATCCAGGCTGGCGGGAGGGGAGCGGGTGGGCAGTGATGTGGGGCGTGGCAGAGGGAGGCGGCGGGGCCCGCGGTTGCAGAGGACGCCCGCAGAGGTAGGTGCTAACGCGGCTGCAAGCGGCCCATCCCCCTGCCGGGAGCAATAGTGTAAAAAAAAAAAAAATTGGGGGCACCACTTTTTGGGGCCCCCAAATCTTGGCGCCCTAGGCGGCCGCCTAATTCACCTAGTGGTTACACCGTCCCTGTCTGGAAGAGACCTTGAGAGGTTACCTAGTCCAGCCCCCAGCGCTGAGGCAGGACCAAGTAAACCTAGACTGTGCCTAACAGATGTTTGTCCAACCTGTTCTTAAAAGCCTCCACTGATGGCGATGCCAGAGTATCCCTTGGAAGCCTATTGCAGAGCTTAACTGTCCTTATATTTAAAAAGATTTTTCTTGATATCTAACTTAAATCTTTTTTGCTGCAGATTAAGCCAATTACTTCTTGTCCTACCTTCAGTGGACATGGAAAACAATTGATCGTAGTCCTCTTTATAACAGCCCTTAACATAGTTGAAGACTGTTATCAAGCTCCCCCTGAGTTTTCTTTTGATTTTGTAAAGCTTTTATCATTTTTGTTGCTCTTCTCTGGTCTCTCTCCAATTTGTCCAAATATTTTGTAGTGTGTTATGTCCAGAATTGGGTATAGTACTCCAGATGAGGCCTCCCCACTGCCAAGTAGAGTGGGACAATTACCTTCTGTGTTTTACATACATCATCTCTGTTAATACACCCCAGAATAGTAGCCTTTTTGTAACAACATTACATTGTTGACTTATATTCAATTTGTGATCCACTATAACCCCCAGATCCTTTTCAGCAGTATTACCACCTACCCAGTTATTGCCTATTTTCTGGTTTTGCATTTGATTTTGCCTTCCTAAGTGAAGAAATTTGCACTTGTCTTTATTGAATGTTATCTTGTTGATGATGATTTTGAATTCTAATCCTGTCCTCCAAAGTGCTTGCAACCCTTCCCAGCTTGATGTCATCTGCAAATTTTATAAGCCTACTCTCCACTTCATTATCCCAGTCATTAATGAATATATGGAATAGTACTGGACTCAGGACCGACCCCTGCGGGACCCCACTAGATATGCCTTCCCAGTTGGACAGCAAACATCAATATGTTGATAAATACTTTTTGAGTATGATTTTTTTTCAACCAGTTGTGCACACAACTTGTAGTTATTTCATCTAGACCACATTTCCCTAGTTTGCTTAGGAGAATGTCATGTGGGACTGTGTCAAAAGCCCTTACTAAAACCAGTATCTATCTGGTCTACTGTTTCCCCCATCCACTAGGCCAGTAACCTTGTCAAAGAAGGAAATTAGGTTGGTTTGGCATGATTTGTTCTAGAGAAATTTATGCTGGCTATTCCTTCTAACCACATTATCTTCTAGGTGCTTATAAATTGATTATTTAATAATTTGTGCAAGTATCTTTCCAGGTATTGAAGGTAGGCTGACTGGTCTATAATTTTCCAGGTCCTCTTTGTTCTGCTTTTTAAAGATAGGTACTATGTTTGCCCTTCTCCAGTCCTTTGGAACCTCACCCATCTTCCATGCGTTCTCTGAGATAACAGCTAATGGGACTGAAATTGATTCAGCTAGTTCCTGAAGTACTCTAGGATGAATTTCATCAGGCACTGCGTGGTAGAATACATCTAATTTATCTACATTTCCTTGAACCTGTTATTTCCCTATTTTGGCTTGCAATCCTTCCTCCTTGTTGTTAATATTGTGTTGAGTATCTAGTCACCACTAACTTTTTCATTGAAGACTGAAGTAAAATAGACATTAAACACTTCAGCCTGCTTGATATCATCAGTTATTAGATCTCCTTCCCCACTAAATAGAAGACCTACACTTTCCTCCATCTTTCTTTTACTCCTGATGTATTTAACGAACCTCTTCAACTTGCCTTTTACTGTATGTTCATTGCTAGATGTAACTCATTTTGTGCTTTAGCCTTTTTGATTTTGTTCCCTCCATGCTTGTGCTACACTTTTGTAATCCTCCTTAGCAATTTGTCCATGTTTCCACTTTTTGTAGGATTCCTTTTTGATTTTCAGAGCTCCTGATGGAATCATATTGGCCTCTTACTATTCTTTCTATCTTTCCTTCACACTGAGATAGTATTAAAGGCACAAATGCAAACTGTCTTCTTGAGAAACTGACAGCTCTCATGAACTCCTTTATCCCTTAAATTTTATTCCCATGAGACCTTACCTACCAATGTTCTAAGTTTGTTAAAGTCTGCTTTTTTGAAGTCTGTTGTCCTTATTCTCCTGATCTCACTCCTTCCTTTCCTTAGAATCATTAAATCGATCATTTCATGATCACTTTCACCCAAATTGCTCTCCACCTTCAGATTCACTACCAATTCCTCCTTGATCAGAGTCAAGTCTAAAATGGCTGTCCCACAGGTTACTTCTTCCACTTTCTGAAACAAGAAGCTGACTCAATATATTCCAAGAATTTATTGGAAGTGCTGTGTTTTGTTGTGTTACTTTTTCAGCAGATGTCTGGGTAAAGTCCCCATTACTACCAGCTCTTGTGTTTTGGATATTTGTTATTTGTTCTAGAAATGCCTCATCCACCTCCTCTTCCTGATTTGGTGGTCTATAGCAGGCCTCTACCATGATGTAATCCCTATTCCCCTCCACCTTTTATTTTTACCCAAACAATTTCAGCTGATCTGCTTTCTTTATGTATAATGCAACACCACCTCCTTTTTCCCCCCAGCACATCCTCCCTGAATGAGCTGTCCCCCTCTATACCATTATTAAAGTCATGAGACTTATCCCACAAGCCTCTGTGATGCCAATTAAATCATAATTTATCTTATATACGAATACGTTCCACTATGTCCACACTATCATTTTTAGTATGTTATCTTGAGCTGAGCTAGTTCAAGTCTGTGTACCCAGGCTGGGACTCACACCTCCCAGCTGCAGTGTAGACATATCCTACGAGAATTTAAGCCCTGCTGGAGAAAACTATGAGTAAGTGAAAATGGAATTATT